CTCATCTGAACCTGATCTCTGTTTTTCTGGATGTATGAGTTCTCTGACACCAGTAAAAAAATGCCCCAAAACTTAGTGGCTTAAAACAATGAACATTTATCTCATAGTCTCTTTGGGTCAGGAGTCTAGGTGTGCCTCAGCTAGGTGCCTCTGGTCCAAGGTCTGTAATGGGGTGTCAGCCAGGCTGCAGTGTCATCCAAGGGCTCGTTGGGAACAGCCTCCACTTCCAAGTTCACTCAGGTGGTGTTGGCAGGAGTCAGTTCCTCAGAGGCTGTCAGGCTGAAGGCCTCACCTCCTCGCTGACTGTTCACTGGAGGCCACACTCAGTTCTTGCCATGTGGGTCTCTCCATAGGTGTCTGACAACATGGTGACTGGCTTCCCTCAGAGCAAGCAAGCAAGAGCACCCAAGATAAAAGACACAGTTGCTATGTAACCTAATCTTGGAAGTGACATCCTATTGCTTTTGCTGTATTTTATTTGTTAGAAGGAAGTCACTAGGTCTAGTCCATACTCTAGGGGAAGGGGCCCCACAAGGGTATGAATTCCAGGAAGCAGGGGTTCTTGGGGGCCTTCTCAGAGGGTAGCTGTCACATTCTGGGTTACCTATGTGAGGGTATGTGAGACAGAGATGGGGATGTTTGGGTGTTTACAGGACACTGGAGCCTCAGATTCCAGACTCTGCTTCCTATACCTGATGTCTCTTTCCTTAACTGTACATGTATAATGTGGTCAATGAGTCGGTCTTTGAAATGCTGGAGGCATCAGAGCACATCTGTGTGCCTCCCTCTGTGTTTTTGGAAAACATGTGGAAGCAGCCCATTCTTACATAAAATGAACTAAAAATTGTCTACATTGACCAATTAAGATTTTTTTCAGTAAGTAGAAGGAAGCAAGTAGAGAATACTGTATAAAAACTAGGTACTGAGGTTTTTATTTTTCTACCTTGTAATGCGTTGAAATAATGTTGCTCAGATCCAGCATTATCAGAGATGTTAACGTTTAGCTCAGAATATTCCCACTTTGATTAATTATTGAGCTTAAGAGTACAAGTAATTTTTGGATTAAAAAAATACACCTGGCTTTTAATTAGCTGTAAGTAATTTCTTTCATTGTGATCAATATCCAGTTGTTACAGTTTGGGAAGCAAGTATCATATCAGCAAAAATGCTTACACCTCCCAGCTGAATCTTAAATGCTAATAATTTTGTATTTTTGCTGTAGCTAGTCATCAGGTGTGGTGCCTGACTTAATATTGAGATGGAGCACTTGATGGTGAAGAATGTCCTCTTTCTTACCATCTTAGCTTTGCAGCATGAAAATGATGCAAACTGAATTGACCTTCCTAAAATAATGCTAAATAGCTAATCCTAATTAGCTCTAAGGTAATAGGCACAAAGGGACAGCCTTCTGTGCAAAACCTAAACACATTTTAATTATATTTTGCTCTTCTTTGGAGAACCTACTGCCTTCTAAATTTATTAGGAACATTCTAAAACCTAAACTCCTGAAAACAAGAATCTAGCAGGTTGTAACTTTATTCCAGTAGGAAGGTATTACACCAACTTTGGAATTTGAATCTCATTCTTAAAGGCTCTGCAGTTCTTATCTGGATGCTGAAATGATGGTTTTTCAATTCCAACCATGATTATTGCTCCAGACCTCATCCTGTGGGAACTAGAAATAATGTCCAACTGCTTTCCTGTCTGGCCACATTCCAGCCATTCCCCTGTCCAGGATAATGATAATGGCCGGACGCTTCCTAAGCTCATGGCAGCCCATTCTGCAAGTAACTTCTTTCCTCTGCCAGCAGACAAGGAACCTGCCCTCAGCTTCCTACTCTCCAGCATAAAGACCCGTGGGAAGCAACAAGAGGGAAAAAAAGACTTCTGTGTAAGGCCCATGTATGCACCATGGGCCAGCTGATAGCCTGCTGCCCCTTCAAGCCAATATTCCTTAAATGATAGTTCCACATTTATTTAGTAAGGAGGACTGATTTTCTAATTTTGAAAATTGCCCGTATTTGATTCATGTAAATAATTCACTTCTACTGGCTGAAGGCAATGTCAACAATTTAAAAAGAAAAACAAATCCGAAAATTACCTTCTTAAAAATACCATTTTGCCATTCTGATTCTCAACTTTATTTTGCAGTTTCCCAAACCAGAGATGTTCTTGGGGCTTAAGCACATAATCAGTATATAAATTTGCCCTCAGGTCTGTGTAATGTCTCTGTGCATGTGTTCGTTTTGCAGGGTTACTATGAACGAAAAGGACAATTTCATGAATGCAGAAAATCTGGGGATTGTGTTTGGGCCCACTCTGATGAGGCCCCCCGAGGACAGCACCCTCACCACTCTCCATGACATGCGGTACCAAAAGCTGATTGTGCAGATTTTAATAGAAAATGAAGATGTTTTGTTTTAATCCATCAAGAAGATGAGCTGAATGGCCCCAGGCCCATCTAAGTTGATAAAGCTAAAGGAATAAAAACATTTTTATGCTTGATTTGTTTTTCAAACAAGTGACAGAATTTCCTGGACCGCAGTGGGTTGCCAAGTCGGGTACTGTGTCTCATAGACACGCGCCCCCTCCACGTGAGCACACAAAGGAGGGGGTGAGAACAGCCCCTCGCCGTGGGTCTTTTGCCGTGCCTCGTATGCATGTTTGTTTTGCTGGAAGAGTGATTAATAAATCTTTCTTTAACTTATTAAAAAACCATGTAGACCTAAAAACTTCAGTCTTAGTAAGGAAAGGGAATTTAATTCAGAAAGGTACTTGATACAGTTATACATTTCCCCTTACAAAAAAAAGACAATGCTATATGTTAAATGTTAAATGAAACCTATATTGTAAAATGTATTTTTATTTTAGCTGCAAGAATGTTATTTTATTTTAGCAAATAGAACTCAATGCAGTGCATTGGTTATTGCCATGTGTACCTTGTCCTGCGTTCTTGCTGTGATGCCCTGAAAAAGTTGACCACGAATGCAGTATTATCTTGACATACCTCTGTCCTTATCAGTGCTTTTCAATGAAGTTCACCTGCCACATGTATCCCTGCTTTTGATAGTTTTTGCTCTTAAGCACCGGCATTCTGCGATCATATGGTATATGTTTATAGCAATTGTAGGATAGTCTGAAACATCGGCAAATTTTCTTTCCATAAAAATTTTGTGAATTCCCAAAGTATGTTTTGGAATTGGTCCTTCCTAGCCTTTCCATATCATGAGTATGTATCCCAGAACATGCAGAATGTGGTTATTTTACATAAAATGACTTGAGAACACTGGATGGATCTGGGCCGTGTAAAAAGTTAGCACTTTTCCTCTCTTATTTTCGGCCAAGCACTCTGAATTTTTCTGTTAATGGCTAGTTGTGTTTTTGCCCCATTTCTGTATTGATGAGAACTGAATCTGCAAAATAATTATTGAATTTATTTTTATTTTTATTTTATAAACAAACCATTTTTTTAAAGTAAGAATGAATAGTGTGGGTTTATACCAAATATTTGTTCCTCTCGATAAAAGTAGCTCTGTATGGATAATAATTTAATATGATTTTATTACTATACTTCCATCCTATTGGTTATATTTATCTTAGCATGAGCCTTTCACACCAAGATTTCTATATTTTGTAACATAGGTGAAATATTTAAAACATCAAAAACTATAAATCTAGATTTTTTTTTCTAATCCAACTACAATGTCTTTTTCTCTGATTGTCTGAGATGATTCCTGTAATTACTCACTAGTCTTGTTTCGGAGTGACCAGAAGAGAATGACTGTGTGTTATGTGGAGCTGAAAGGAGGAGCACGGTGCGAGTGTCATCCTGGAAGGCCCAAGGGCCATGCGGGCAGACCTCGCTGGCACACGAGGGTCAGAATGGTTCAGCTGGTCCCTGCTACTGTTGTTCCTCCCAACTGTACAGATTTGCTTGTTGTAGCTTATGTACTTCTTGATACTGTCAAAAAATTATCTGGAAATGGTTTATTTTGTGAAGTGAACAATACTTTGTAATTTATGATAGTGTAAATGGAAGGAAAAGCATTACATGTATTAAATTCTTCTGTCTATCATTCTGGAGTATGTGCAGAAAAGTGGTGTTTGGGAAGATCTTCAAAACATTGTTCTCAGATAGGTCTTGGCGGTAGATTTTCTATCATTACTGAAACCAGAGTCTCCACCTCACTGCCCCATTCCCTCCACAAGCTTCCTTCTAGAGGGTCTGCTCTAAGATTAAGATTTTAATGCTCCACCTTCACTTTCTATAGACCCTTTGCACTTATACTGTCTATGCAGAGGTAAAGGGTGTGGAGAGAATCGCCTTAGGACACTTGTAGGAGAGCAGAACAATAATTGTGGAGTCAGAAAACCCTAAGTGTGAATCCTGATCTGCCTGTGACTAGCTACATATGACCTTGGGAATGTGTTTGCTCATCTGAAAAAGGGGATAATATTCTGATTGTGACATCGTAAATGAAATTTATGACCTAAAGTAATTAGTAACAGTTATTTCTTATAGTAATCATTATTTAAAGAGAGATTGCTTAGAAGGGGAAAGGATACAACTTGGGGTCCTGGGATGAAAGCATAAGAATAAAAAGATTTGTCCCAGGTTAAATCCAAGTAATACTAAGGGATATAGTAATAAGGCTCTATAATGTGTAATGAGGTTCACTTGACTCCTTTTCTCAAATGCGATTCCAACACTTGATCCCCTCTCCCTTGCTTTAGTCTGAAGCCTGCTCACCCACGCCTGTCCTCCCCACCATCTGGCAGCCTGACATGGCTTCCCTTACCTGGCTTGAAATTCCTGCATTGGAATAGCTCTTGTAGTTAGACCGTAAAGGAGGTAGTGCTCTTTCCAGAAACCCACTCTTAAGTTGTCCACAAGTGAGTTGTGGAGGTGGGACAGGGACAAGGCCTTGAAATTCCTGCATTGGAATAGCTCTTGTAGTTAGACCGTAAAGGAGGTAGTGCTGTTTCCAGAAACCCACTCTTAAGTTGTCCACAAGTGAGTTGTGGAGGTGGGACAGGGACAAGGACAGGGCAGGGTGGTTGGGAGGAGACCACCTTGCTTTCTCCCATTAATGTAAATGGGCATTTCAGATGATCTGGTTTCAATACCTTAGAGGGGCCTGGTGCAGAATTCAAGGATAGCAGCCTGGAAGGGCAGAAAGAGAGGGAGAAGAGGCTAAGGAAGGGCAGTGACAAAGTGACGAGAGCATCGGAAAGAAACATCACATATAGTTGAAGGGTCGACTGGGCTGTCCTGACTCCTACTGAAAACCCAACCTGGTTAGCTTATAAGTTCCCAGGTTCTGTCAATCCCCAATTTATAGTCGGTCTTTTATCTCTAAAATGTAACATTAATTTTCAACAAACATTTATCAAGCATTTATTAATGGGCCAGACACTGTGAATACTTGGAGGCAAGGAAAAGGCTTATCTCACTGGAAGAATTAAATGATAAGTTTAGTCTGTCTGGAGACAGGAAGCTTGTCATGTTCAGGGTTTTGAACTCTAAAATAAGGGGAATGGAAGTGTATTAGTCCATTCTGTGTTGCTATAACAGAAATACCTGAGACTGGGTGATTTGTAAAGAAGAGAGGTTTATTTGGCTTATGATTCTGGGACAGTTGCATCTGGCACGTGCCTCAGGCTGTTTCCACTCATGGTGAAAAAGTGGCAGGCAGCCGGCAGGTACAGGCAGATCACATGGCGAGAGAAGAAGCAAGAGAGAAAGAGAGAGAGAGAGAGAGGAGGTGCCAGGGTCCTTTAAACAATCAGCTCTCCTGGGAACTAACAGAGCGAGAACACTCATTAATCCCCCTTCCTCCCCCAGGGAGAGCATTAATCCATTCATGAGGGATCCGCCCCCATGACTCAATCAGTTTCCAACACTGCCACATTGGAGATCAAATTTCCACATGAGTTTTGGAGGGGACGACACATCCAAACTCCATCAGGGAACTACTAATTTTTTTTGAAATAAACTTTTAATTGTGGAGTAGCTTTGGGGTTTTCAAAGAGTTCATGGAAACTACTAATGTTTTTTTGAAATAAACTTTTAATTGTGGAGTAGCTTTGGGGTTTTCAAAGAGTTCATGGAAAGATTCGTATTATCTTTTAATTCTATTTTTCAATGAACTTTTTGAAGTGCCCTCATATATTTACAGAAAAGTTGCAAAGATACTACAGAAAGTTCCTATATACCCCATACCCAGTTTCCCCTCATGCTAATATCTTACATAACCACGGTACATTAGTCAAAACAAAGGAACCAACATTAGTACAGTACTATTAACTAAACTCCAGACTCTATTCAGATTCCGTGGGTTTTTTCCACTAATGTCCTTTTTCCTTTCCAGGATACAATCCCGGGTACTGCATTGCATTTAGCACTAGTGGGTTTTAAGGGCAGATGACATATCATTTCCGTTTTCCAGAGATGACTGACTTGATTGTGGATCCATCATAGAATGTATAGGTAGGTGAGGGGGAGTGAGAGTAGACACAGGGAGTTGTTTAGACGTTCATTGTTGTAATGTAGGACTGAGGTGATGGCAGCCTGGCCTGGAGGTAGCAAGGCAGAGGTAAATAAGCAGAACTGAGTTATATTTAGGAGGTAGAGTTGAAAAAGTTTGGTTATAGTTTGGATTAAGGAATCTGGAATGACTTCCAGGTTGTTTAATTTGGTAGCTGTGCAATATTTACTGAAATGAAGGATATACAAAGGACTAAGTGATTGGGAAGGGGTAGAAGAGATAAGGAAGGTGATAAGTCCCCTAGTGGACATGATGAAATAGAGATAGATGTGACATGTCCAAGCAGAGGTGTTACGTGAGCAATTGCATTAACAGACCTGGGCTGGAGATAAGAGTTTGGGGATGACCCACCAGAGATTGGAAACACAGGACTGAATAAGAGTGCCCAGGGACATGAAATGGAGACATGCAGGGGAGGCCCCACCTAAAATTCTCCAGAGCACCAACATTCAGGACAGAGGAAGAGAAAGAGAAGAGAGCAAGTGAGGTCTACTGTAATGTAATAAAATGTGGATGATCTCATGAGTACAGTTCAGAAAGGCTCTCCCTAATCCATTTATTTGTTCCACTTGGACATTTTTTTTTTTTTTCTGGCAGCTGGATGGTACCAGGATAGAACCCTGGACCTTGGTGTTAGCAGCACCACACTCTAACCAACTGAGCTAACCAGCCAGTCCTATTTAGGTTATTTTGCTACATGTAAGGTGCCATGTTTGACCCTGTGCTTTGCAGCAGTTTGCTTAGCTAGATGTTTTGTAAATGCAAATGAGCCAGTGCTATGGTCTGGGTGTTTGTGCCCCCACAAAACTCATATGTTGAAACCTAATCTCCAGTGCAATGGTATTAAGAAGCGGGACCTTTGGGAGGTGATTAGGTCATGAGGGTAGAGCCCTCATGAATGGAATTAGTTCCCTTATAAAAGCGACCCTGGAGAGCATCCTTGTCCCTTCCACTATGTGAGGACACAGCAAGAAGGTGACTGTCTATAAACCAGGAATTGGGCACTCACCAGATACTGAATCTGCCAGTGCCTTGGTCTCGGACTTCCCAGCCTCCAGAACTGTGAGAAATAAATTTTGTTGTTTATAAGCCACCTAGTCTATTGTATTTTGTTATAGCAGCCTGATGGACTAAGACACCAAGGTGACTGTCTATAAACCAGGAATTGGGCACCCACCAGATACTGAATCTGCCAGTGCCTTGGTCTCGGACTTCCCAGCCTCCAGAACTGTGAGAAATAAATTTCGTTGTTTATAAGCCACCTAGTCTATTGTATTTTGTTATAGCAGCCTGATGGACTAAGACACCCAGTGTCATTTTTTTTTCCTAAGCTGAGTGAAAGATTTTACCATATTCAGGGACCTCTTTTGCTGCCTTCCTCCAGCAGTTTGTATGTGTCTCTAATACAGTGTATCACAAACTCCTGCAATTGTGTATACAATTCTGTATCCCACAAAAGTACAAACTCCTTGAGATCAAGAACGATGGATACCACATGGCAAACTCCTGCTCATCCTGCAAGGCTCAACTCAACAGCTGCCTCCCTCTTGAGACTTTCCCTGGCTTCTCCAGGCAGAGAACACAGGAGATGTCAGCCATAAGCATGTGAAAGCAGCAGTGGTTCAGAGAACTGTAAAGAGCTGGGTTTAACCAGAGCATGACGTGTGAGGGAAGAGGAAGGGAAATAAGATTAAATAAGCATGCCTGTGAGAGAGAATAAGGAACCTTGAGTGCCAAGCAAAAGGATAATCTTAGAACATTCAAATTTAGAAAGATCTGTCAGGTGGCACATGAAGGATAGACCAGTGGATGTAAGACTGTCTCCATGCAAGCTAATCAGGAAGCTGTTATGGGCAATGACAGCCTGAACTTGGCTCATGACAGGAGGGATGGAGAAGAGGCATGCGTAAGAGAGTTATTTAGGAGGTTGTCAGGACCTACTGATTTGATGTCAGGATTAAAAGGAAGGAAAGAGTCACGGCTGACATCCCTACTTCTGGTTTTTGCAATGAAATGAATATTTAGGAAAATGAGAAAATATGGGAAGGGGAGCAGGTCCAGCAGGGAGAAGTCACAGGTTCAGTTTACGTGATGAGTTGTGGCACCAATGGTTCCCCCAGGTGGAAACGTCTGGTAAGTGGTTGGACACATGGTTTTGCAGCTCTTGAGAGAAGGATGAGCTGGTAGATATGACCCGGTCAGATAGTATGGACCACTAAAGTAAAGAGAACCAAAAATAGGGCACTATTCTAAATCGAAAGAGCAGGCAAAGTTAGACACTTTGCAGGAAGATCAGGAATGGCCAGGGGAGGAGACAGAGAGTCAGGAGTGTAAGACAAAAGGAGGGAAGACAGAACTGCAGGACAGGCCCGCAGGGTCAAATGCTACTGGAAGGTGACAAGGTGCTGAGCTTCCTTTGGATATGGCAACTGGGGAGCCATGGGGAACTTAGCAAGAGCATTACAGTGGGGAGAGGGTGGTGAAAGGTGAAGGATGGAACCTACAGGAGTGAATGGGGTAAAGAAAGA